CCCCAGAATTCCTAGGATGTCAATCAAATTTAAATGGTGTCTGTCTACATATTGCAAATATCAGGCTATTTCATTCAGTTTGTCCATCTTCTGATAAATTTTCTTTGAAATCTTCCTTTGACCAGGGGGAATGTCTGGCATATCATATGAAATGTAGCTCATTTCATTACTCTGTGCCATCAGTAAAAGGGCCAAAATATTTTGTTTCCTTGTTAAAGGACAGCTGTAGGATCTGATTCAAGTTTTTGGAAGACATGCAAGGCATCTTATGATCATCTTCCTTCACTATATTGGATCAATAATATAAATATTCCTCTTAGGAAAAGAGGCTTCTTAGGAAAATCTCAGACTTATCACATATATAGGGTTGTTAGATAATATTTTGAGGGCTGTATCCCATTACTCCTACTGGTCTTGGGCAATATCTATATTTAATATGTTGCTTCCTAGTATTTCACTGTCCATAAGAGAACCTTCATGTCTTATTTTTTTGTTCTAAGGTGCCTAATATTCTCAAAAATTCTTAGAAAAGAATGCCTCCAGCATGCCTGTATCTTTCTGAATACTAATGAATTTTCTGACATGTGTTCTTCACATTAAATAATAATTTTAGTCATGGATAAACACTATTTATTTGTAGAAGCAAAACAAATTCTGTACAGAAAATTATTCAATTAACTCATGTGTCCACTTCAGCCTGTTGGTCTGCAGTGAATAAACAAGGATGTTTTATTTGAATGAATGTTTGTAACTCCTGCCAGTGTAAATCCATTTATCTTCCAGTCCTTGGCCATACACTTGAGCGGCTACATATATTTAGACTGCACAAAGCTTTTTTTTTTTGGAAAAAAAATGCCCTTTCTGGGAGCAACAAAATTCAGCACTTCCCTGGATGGTGTGTGACATCTTCTAAGTGAATTCAGATGAGATTATGGCAGCAAAATCCCCCGTTTGATGTTCAAGAGGTGCAGATAGGAGAGTCAGCCGTGACGTTTGGGCAGTGCTGGGGCTGGGGGGGTGAGCTCAGCCAGGAGGGTGAACCCTCCAGTGCACAGTCCTGCACTGAATTATCCCTTCTCTTCTTTCTGTAGCAAAGTCGTGGCTTCTTCTCATCTCTGCAGGAGTGACACTGAGTTCTGGGCAATGAAAGGGCAGCTTGTGCCTCCTCGTGTCCTCTTCCTTTCTGAAAGTTGCCCACATTCCTCTGCATGTTGTGTTCTCCTCCTTTCAGGGGTGTGCTGTAATCCAGTTTATGTCCACTGCTATGTCAATAAATGCCCGGCTGCTGACAGGCTTGCTGTCAACCCTGACACTTCTGTTAATATTTCTGCTATGTAAAGAATAGAATGGAATATTGGGATATGGGTACTTCCTTAGTTTCCACCTGGTTGCCAGGAAAAGGCCTAAACCTTTACAGAGTGTAACCACTACAGAGTGTAACCAACACAGGGCTGTGGAACAAAATCCCCCAAAGGCCTTGGGTTCACTCCCTCAAGTCCCAGTGGATTGGAGTGACATCCCTCACCCTTGGAAGAATTCATGTGTATCTATTTAGAGGCACAGAGATGTTTTTTCTCTCAGTTTTCTTTCCATTTTCTCTCTATTTTTTCTCCCCATGAACACAAAGTCCTTGCAGAGGGGGGAACTTCACTGGGGACAGCTTTGGTTTTGTTACCTTAATATATCCAAAGGGATATATTAAGAACTTTGAAAGTATATCCAGCTTCATCCAATTCCCAAAGAGAGAAAGTTAAAAGCTCTTATAGCTCAGCAGATGAGACTTTTGCCTCTGTCTGGTTAAGCCAGGACAAGGCTCCAGTGGTCTAATGTATTTAGAATTGGATATAGATTTTCAAGAATTGGATATAGATTTTTAAAAGCAGCCCAGAAGATTTAATTCTTGCCATCTAGTTGCTCTTAAGGAGCTATTTATTACAAAAGAAAGATGAAAGATTTTTAATTGGACTCTGAATTAATTTCAAAATACATTCTTTTCCTTAGATGAGAAACAATTTGTGTGTGTGCTGGTTTCACACTTACATTCCAGAAAACTGGCTTTTGTGGAGACTCAGACATTGAAAGTGCCTGTGCTGTAATGATTTTTGGTTACACAGAAACCTCACTTGCTATAACAAATAATGAAAGTATATAATGGAAAAAATATTTTAAAGCCATTTCTTGAAAAAGCCAGCCAAAGCTTAATAACAACTTAAAAATCTTTTAAGGTAAGTTTTTGAGATCTGGAAGTGCTTGCTGTAAACAATTTTTCTCAATATCTTGCCCTGGAGATCCAATTTGCTGTTATTAAACATACTGAGATATTCTTGTTAGAAGTAGGACTAAAAATAACCTTTCAGCACGCTGTTGCACTGGTATTTTTAGGTCTAAGTATTTATTCCTCCTACCAATCACTGCTTTGTATTAATTAATTTTCAGTGACAACTTAATTTTATCTTTTTGTGGCTTGGTTCCAAAGAAGTTTTATTTTGACAGACTTTGGGTGTTCTGTTCTCAATCATCACAGTGTGGAAAAAAAGAAAAGGGTCTGCTGTAAAAAGAGCAATACATTTGTTGATCAGCTGTTCCTCATTTGTCAGAAAAAAAAACCCAACTCCAAAGAACTGAGGCCAATGTTTTATTAGGAAGGTAGACAAGCTCCAAGCACAGTCAGTGGTTTTTATTGTCATTTTATGGCCAAATAAATGACCAGGTGAGAGTCAATGTGATCATACCATTGTAAAACCCAGGGTTTTTTGGACTGTGTTTGCATGGTTAAAAGCTAATAATAATATTAACTTGCTCATGGGGTTATTTAATGAATACACCTGAGCCTAATAATTTCTGAGAAAGGGAAAATTGTGGGTTCTTTTGTAGGACCCTGGGCATTAACACACCAAACAAACTGTGAGTCCATCCAGTCTGATTTCCAGACTACTGGTGTGAGCAAGTGAAATGCTCAACTCACAACAGGGCAGATCCAACCCTGTTGTTTGAAAAGAGACAAACTACGGGTGTTCCTGGATCCTCATTCCAGTAGCAGAGGATCTAATGCAACATCTGTCTTTAGTTCTGCACGGACATGACCAAGAAGATCTCCAGAGTAATCAGGTGCTGTAGTGAGAAGTGTTGTGGTAATGAATGGCAGGCGTGGAAAGGTGTGGAAGGATATTTAGTATTAGAGCCTGAATAAAACCTCCTCCCATTCACAGTCATTGATCAGCCTAGTCCTGAAATGTGTTGCCATTTTACACTTGCTGATTTAATCTCAAATTTTATTTGTATTTATGTTTTAGTGCTCTCCCACATCTGTCATTTGCAGTTGCCAGTGTTCAAGCATTGGGGAATATAATTATGAGAAAACTGAATGAATAATCAATACTTTATTATATTGCACTGTGGTATAGTGGGGACCCAGTAAATGGCCAAACATGCACTGTGGATAAGTAAGAATTGCTCAAATATAGTAAAAAGCTTGTCCTCATTCTGAAAGGTTTCATGTTAAGGTAGTATTTCAGTCTGATAAGAAATTATGGTCTCTTAATCCATGTAAACATGGCCAATTTCTGGAACACTGGAGCTCCTCCCTGGGGCAGTCACTGCTTTGTTTGTGATATTCTTGGTGCTACTGGGCTGCATGGAGGAAAGGCAGCTCCAGATGGGATTTACTGTTGTTTCTTCCTTCCCTTGGGCTGCATTTGGGGTGTCCATCTCATCTGCCTCAAAGTGAATCCCTCTGGATCCCCGGTGCTTGGGAAGTGTGTTACAGGCAGAACGTTTCCCGTGAGCGCTGGAGGCAGCGGGAAGGCAGAGGGAAGGCAGGACCAGTGGCCATCCTGAGGGTGCTGGGGGACACTGAGTCCTTTCCTGGCGTCCATGGAACTCACAGAAAGCTTTTCAAGAAAAAAGGAGGAGGAGAGCATTACAACAGCAACTCATGATGCAGTCAAAGGCTGGGGAAAATCTGGGGAGTATTTGCTCTGAAGTGTTGACAGCTCAATGTATTAATACAGGACGAGACTGGAAGGTGTCACAATCTCCTCCTCCCATCACTGGTATGTGGGAGGCTGGAGCACTTTAGGATTTGGTGGCCTGTTTTCTGTGTTCCATCTAATGGCTGGAAAGAAGAACCCTTTTTTGCTGTTGCCTTTGTCAAGCTCTCAGAGGATCTGACAGGGGCTGCTCACTAGAACATCTCAGGTGCAGGGGGTGAAGTTACCTCTCACATTTAGGGTTGTAGAGCCACCCTTAAGTCCCCTTCTCCCAAGCCCCAGAAGGTATAACCCTCAGTTTTGGGCAGATGGCTCTTGGGAAATTGCCAGTACTTCTCTCAGTCAGAGGAGGTTGAGGAGAATATACCTGAGGGACAGAGAAGCACCGGTGATATTACATGTGTGGTTTTACTCTAGGGCTTGTACTGAGTGAATAAGTCTTCTTCTTCATTCCTTTTTTTTTTTCTTTAAATATTCCCCTCTGCAGGGAGCTTTATCCCCTAGTCTAGCAGTCTGGGAACAAGAGAAAGAATTTAATAGCTCCTGGCTTTTGATCTCAGGGCAGACAGTGAACTGCATTGTGTCCTCAAGCAAATTATTTAAACTCTTAACATCAAATTCACCTCTATTCATGCTCTCTGCAACCTCAATGTCATTGTATTGAGAACATAATTTGTTCTAAATTTCCTAATATGTAATCCCAAGATCAATGTTTGTCTTTCTGATACGTATTGTGCAAGGAAAGGTTCCTTTTCTGATTTTGCTAGAAGTCTGAATTTCTAGGTATTACAAGTGGGAAAAGACTACAGACTGTATCCATCCTAAGGCTTTGGGCTTCAGTGTTTTTGGTGGGACCATGAATGAAAATACAGACATAATTATAGACTTAAAGGGAGCGAGATTCCCTATATCCTGTATGTCCCATATGGAAAGGAAAAGACCTGCTAACCTCAACACAGGCATTTTGTTCTCCATTAATTTCTTGCCCTCATAAGTTTCTTCATTTTCCAGGCTTCGGATGCCTTCTTGAATGTCTCATTCCCCTGAACAAGGGCACTGGTGACAGAGCTCATCTCTGGCAGCGAGAGAGGAAGCAAGGAGAGATCTCCTTCTGGTGAGTTATAAAGCTGCTTTCTCTCCTTTATTTTTAAGCATTTACTTCTTAATCTGCCCCCGTGATCGAGAGGGACACTTTTCCTCTGTTTCAAGTCCTACTGCTCTGTCAGGATGTCACAGCTCAGCAGCCCCTTGGCACCATGCAGGGGAACGAGCAGATCCAGCTACAGCACCTGCAGGGCTCTCTGTGGTGCCCATGTTTTCAGGTGCTGCCCTCTTTAAGCTTCTGGTTCAGGTGCCAGTTGTGATAAACTTACAGACCAAGCATAGTGGACACAGGCCACTTCCCTCTAACACTTGCCCCTACAAGACCATACAATCCTTAAAAAAAATACAAATCGTGCTTCCAAGCACAATTATGTGCTTCTAAGACCTGGGATGTAAATGCTTTGGGCCTCAAAAGGTGCCAGAAACACATTTTTGTTTTAGAAATGAATGTTCATGGGTAAGTCAGGGCCGATGCTTCTGACTTGGAGAAGCAGCAGTTTCCAGAATGTGGTTCCCTGGCTGGAGTGCCTCGTGCAAGGACACTGTGCAGGAAGACTTTACACAATATTGTGTCTATCCGGGTTTGATTGTTTAAAAAAGAGTCAAGATCAGTCATCCTGAACCACAGCAAACAGAGACTCTCCTTAGGATTGTGTTTAAAGCAGTGAGATAAAAACACTGGAGTGTTTGAATAGCTGCTTGTTGTGCTGATGGCTTTTGCTAAGTTGTATTTCTTTGGAATAAATTGACAGCAACTTGAGAAATTCTACTGGGACTCCACTTGCATTTCTGAAGTATCACCTAAGCAGCAGCTCAGGCTTTCTTTATTTTATGCTTTTCCCAGAAGAAAAATGGTAGTATCTGCAGCCTGGTTTGGGGTTTTTTTTGGTGAAGTATCATTTTTTCTCATTCTTTCATTGCATGCAGTTATTTAAGTCTGCCACCCTATGTTTCTTTTGTAGAGGAATTTAGGACTAACACTTGCTCCTGCTCTTGGGATATTTTGAGTTCTCCCAGCTGAAATATTTTAACATTGTCGTAAAGTTAGGGTTTTAATAGTATATTCACTTGCATGCCAAGTAGCTTAAAAAATGGATAACACCAGAACCTCCAACTGCTGAAGAGGAATTTTTTTCCCCTATCCTAGTTCTAGTAGCCTTGAAGATAATATTTTTGACCCTTGTTATCCCCTGTGTTTATTTCCCTTTTTCTAGTTCCTTGATAGAAGATTTAATCATTTTTCCCTCTGAACATCCACGAAAGAATACCACTAGGGATTCTCCAGTTTTTTTCAAAACTTCTGATGGTAACCTACTTCCAAATTCCAAATTTCTTTGCAATATCTAACCTTTTGATATGGTGTTTTGTTGCACTTTAAAATCTTCTCCTGGTACAAATGGGAACACTGCTCCTCACGGGGGCTCTGGGCTTTGTTTGGGAATATTTGTGCCCAGCTGCAGTGGCCTGGGTCCATTGCATCCTGCCATTTGTTCTAGCTGGAATTTGTTTGGTGCACTAGACTCCTTTGGAGCAGGACAACACGTGATTTGAGTGACCACAGAGCTGGTAGAGGGATCAGCCCTGACAGCTCCCTCAACCCTGCAGATCCTGGAGCAGTGACTGGGGTTTGCTGTGCCTTGTCACACACACACCAACCTCAATATGCTTCAAAACTGTGTATTTTGCTTCCAAAGAAACTCTCCAAGCTCTTTCCAAAAGGATCTTCTTCAATGTACATGGAAGGTTGAAAGGAGAGGGGTGAGTTCATGTAGGAGACCAGCATGTCCCTAATTACTCCAGGGATGGAAGTCAAACAGTGCCTGAGCTGTAGGAAAACAAAGCAAAGTTAACAGAGGGATCACTCCACCCTCTGCTCAGCACACACCAGTTGTCTGTGCTAAGGCAAGACTGAGTGACTAAAGCCCAAAATGTTGTCTGGTTACCCATTCAAAAATTAGGATTGATCCATAGTACAAGTGTTACAGCTGGGACTGGTCAATAATCTCAGGATGTAACTTTTTCAGTGTAAATTCACATTGCCTTTGATGGACACAGTTTATTCATTCGTGCTGAGTTTGTCAAATTGCCTCAGCGAAAAGGTTCATCAAGACAAATAATTTTCATTTTGAAAGTTTTGATAAGAACCAGATTTATATATTTGTCCATGTTTTTAAACAACTTTTTACTCTTTTGTCCAGATGAATCTGAATATTTTAAAATTTGTTAAGGCCTTGCCAGGACATTTTTTAATGGGGAGAGCAATGGATTTTTGCAGTGTATCTGTTCAGGCAGGGAAGTATGAAACCAGACCAAAACAAGTTATTCACACAACTTGCCTTACTGAGTTATAAAAACATGTAGGTGGAGTTGCTCCACTGCTGGAAGGACCTGAGGGTTGGAAATACCTCTATAAGATCTTTCCCAGAATTCCCCAATACTATTGTATGTAACTTGGGATGTCTAAGAGAAAGCTCTGTTTTGAGATACTTTCAGTCTAAATGGACAAGGTAAATGATGAAATGGAGACATTGAGAGGAAAATGTGATTTATGGACAATAGGAGAAGAATGAAAGGGCAAGGAGCAAGCAGAAAATCTCATTCAGTTGAATCACATAACGTGCTGTGGATGTTGCTGAAATGTGTTGTAGAGGAGGAGGTGCAGCCCTTTATTTCCCCTCTCTGTCACCTGTGAAAAACTGTATGGTTGGGAATGGTACTCCTGACTCCTTAGAACAGGTTAAAAATATGGAAAGGTCATAAGAAAATAAGTGGGAAGGGAAGTAAAAGACTTTCTCCTTTGGAAGATGTTGAACAACTGAGGACTAAAACCGAAATTTTCTCTAGAGTCTTTTTTATGATGGGAACAAGGTGTAAATCCAAGCTGACCCCCCATATACTTGCTGTACCTTGCTTCTTTTTTTTTTCTCAGCCTTTTACACCCTAAATATTAACAACTTGGGAGGTCAGGTGCTTCCAGGTGCCTCTGCAGTAACAATGAATTCAACCTCAGGTGAAAGCAACCACACTGCCTCTACCAGGACAAAAAATTAATGAAATCACCATCTGAGATATTCAGTTACCTGTGAAGGAGAATTGTCTGTGAGTGTAATCAAAAAATGGCAAAAGTGTTGCTTTGCTGTTCATTTGGAGTTTTTTTGTTGTTCCTGCTGTCACAGCCTGTAGGGAAAATCTCCTTTAGTTTCCAAGTATCAAGTGAGAGAGCTGAGGGTCCAATAAGCCTCCTCAGCTAAGTGAACATGCACTTCAACCTCCCTTTAAGAGAGATTTCACTCCCATTTTGGATGTGGATTGGAGGGAAGAGGCTGTAAGGGGTTATAACCTCATGGAGTACCTCTAACTTTTAATATGACTGCAGAACCACTTGCCCCTCCCTCAAATAAATCAGATCCATGTCTCCCACTGCCCTTTGCAGTGGAGGAGACAAGGAGCCCAAGGCACTGCTCAAGCTCCCATGGCTGGAAGCACATCCTGAGGTTCTGGCTCTCCTTGCAGGATCAGTGCCAGGCACTGCTCTTCTGAAAGCAGGACTGAGGTGCTCCATAAATACCAGGCACAGGGGGACAAACACTTCTCCAATCCCTTTTCCTTGAAAGGAGAGGTTATTGCACCCCAGAGGTATTTAAGGAGTACAGGGGGCATTTAAGGACACAGGTAAAGGAGGTGGAGGGCAAAGGGAGAGAGGAAGTATTGAAGTACTTTTTTTCTTCAGATATCTTTTAAAAAAGGGGAAGAAAGGAGAAGATTGGCTCAACTAAGTTTACCAAAGTGGCACACTGCTCCTGTGATAGCCCAGGCTGCTGGTTCAGTGCTTACACTGCGAGATCAGGAGCAGAATAATTGCCTCTCCGTGTTGTACATCTCCTGGTCTGCCAAGCAGGAAACAGAACCCTCAGAGCATTTATCCCCAAGGGAAGATATGAATAAAAAAACCAACTGCAGTTGGCTCTGCTTCCTTTAGCATTTTGTTTCAGACTCCTTGCTGCACCAGCAAGTGTCACTATGGTCTTTACTATATAGCAGCAGAGATGAGAATGTGAGTTTTGGAACAGGAAAGGGGAGGGAAAAACCCTAATCAGGATTAGGAGTGTGGCTCTGCCACACCTCTATCTAGAATCAGTGACCCAGAGTTCCAATCTCCCTGGGATTTCATTGGCAAAGTGACCTGAAATTATCTGTTAAATCTTTAACTCTGGAGACATTTTAATGGTAGGATCATGTGACAAAAATCTAATTGTTCTTCTTTCTTGTGGGAATGATTGCTGCTTGTAATAATCATGGTGTCATTTTCAGGATAGTCTATTTGCTGAACCGAGTTTTTAAGTTTAACTTGTCAGATTCTCATATTTGGGAGTGGAAGTTCATTGCTGCTTCTCTAGATAAGAAAATGAAATATTTATTAATTTAGAAAAAGGAGTGATATGAAATCTGTGACTGTAATTTTATTTCTCCTCTGCTTTTTCAACGTTGTTGAATATTTTGGCACCGTTTCCAATATATTTAATATTAGATGGGGAAGTGTGAAAATGGAAATGCATCGGGGAAATGGAAAAACACCAACATTCCTGTTACTGAAACAAAACTAAATTATTATGACAAATATTATCATGAATATGGAAAGGAAGCAAGATTGTGTTTTCTTCTCCAACTGCCTAGCCACACTTTCATGTTCCACAAAAAGAAAATTCAGTGACACTGAAATGTTAAGCCCTTAAATTTTATCTTCAGGAGACCTATGACTCATTAAAGATATTAATATACATTTCTTCCTTTCTTACTTAAATAGTTATTTTTAACCCTGTGTACTTAGCTGATTCAGGTCATCCCAAAATCCTAGAAATTACATCCAACAGCCTATTCATTCCTCCATGTGCAGGACTGACACGTTGGGTGAAATTCTTGGTTTGCTGGAGTGAAGGTGATCACTCCCCGTGGATTCTCACCAAGCTGGGATTCCACATTTCATTTCCTACTCATGTGCCCTGTACCTTT